GCCACACCCACATATTTAAGGACACCTTTTTAAAAAATATTATTGCCACTCCCTTCGTTCATATAGCTGTATTGCTTATTCCTAAAATGTCATATTTAATGCCTTTCAACTTTGTCCATTTTAAACTTGTTGGTTGTCCAGGCTTCTTACATGTCATAATCCATTACATAATTTCTTGACTTGCATTCCTTTTGAAAGGTGGCTTAGTTTATTTCACACCCAGACAGCCACCTCTGCATTTGCCAGTTACTGAGCCTAAGGAGCCCTTAGCTTCATTCCCCCTCTCCCCCACACACCTTTGAACTTTCCTGGCAAAGCTGATCTTTAAGGAACTCCTGGGTACTATCCTCACTTTCAAGGTTATTTGAAGTCACTGGGCCTTTCTACCATATCAAGGTGATAATCTCCTGGAGGGGTATTTTGAATATATTTCAGTCAATGTAAGAACAAGATAGCAGCTATTTTAAAAGCTAATACTTGGATTCTTGAGGAAAACCTGAATTAGGAACAGCTGTAATATAATCAGAGATATACAGTAAAATTAGACTATCATTCTTCAAGCAGTCCATTTTTCAGATTGACATTTCTTATGCATTATCATTAACTAAAGCAAGAGATCTTCTCTTTTGATAAAATGAGTTAAGATGTATTCTTTATCATTACCTTGAGATTTATTAGCCAAAAAACTTTCTTAGTAAGCATATTAAGAATTATTTTTTTACAAAAAAAAAATCACCACTCAAAAGCTTAATTTCTACAAAAAAAAAAAATCAACATATAGACAGTACCTCTTAGAAGGTTGACATGTAAGAAAGAAGGATTATGAAATGGCTGCTATTAGTTCATTGTTAAATTAAACCAACTAAATATATTGCTCACTGTTCAGATCATTTGATTCCAGACTTGAATATATATTTACTAATGCTTCTGATAGGGATTTTAGTTGAATAGATTATAATCTAGATACTTAAATAAAAAATAGAATACAAAGATGCTCACATGACTCATTCTTTGGGCTACAAAAATGGTTATGCCTTCACTCCTGCTTATGATTTAAAGTAATTCTAAGAACGTGTTTCTGTTTTAATATTCTGTATTCATTTGACAGACAGAACTTTATTTCTGTCATTAACTAATAAAAATACAATCAATAAAATGAAAACTATCTTCTAACAAGAAGAATTACTATAACCATTTGTACGGGAAGCTTACACATAATATAGCAAACTTTTGCTACTTTTAGATAAATACACTTATATTTATTGTTTTATAAATAGTGCAGATAAAAGGTATATTCATAATTATATATTCATATTCATAAGGGGTTTCATATGGGGTTTCCTGTATTTCCCTTTCAGGACAGCTGTGAGAAGAACATGAAATAGGACTAAAAATAAAGCTCTCCTAAATTTGGGAACTGTGATAAGATGTAAATATGTGGCAGGTTCAGGTACTAACATTTGGTTATTTACAGTTACAATATAATTGAGAAGATTATGGAAAAAAGCAGCAATTTCTGTTTGTTCTTCTACATCTACAAGATCCTTTGCCATAATATTGATCTAGCGCAGGGGTGTCAAACTCATGGCCCCTGGGCCAGATGCGTCATGTGCTGGCCTCACCTGCATCTGGTCTAGTGAAGGGGTGGAAAGTCCCGATATGTCACACGACAATGCCGTGATGATGCAAGTTTAGCACAGATCTAGAGCGATCTAACTGTAAGATTAAGTTGGCATCATTGGAGAAACTATACAGACTCAAGTTTCTTTTGGATCACAGTTTCCTAGGAAGATTTGTAATCGTCTGCAAATATTAGATGGGTCAGTTTACTAGGGTTAGGGGTTGAAATCATTGTTCTTTAGCCAATCTTGTGGTTCCCCTGAAGAACAATGGCTTTCCTTTCTTAATTCTTCAACAAAAGTACTGTATCATATAATTTTTTACAATAAAGTTATGATTTTGGTAAACATTGTGCCAGTGTTGTTTTATAAACAGTCATGGAACGTCATTGATTGATTCTTTCATTACTGGACACAAAAAAGGAAGATCAATGGATTTCTCCAGGAGTGGTATATGACTAGAATCCATTATTACAATAAATGACTCCAGAATCCCTGTTAGAGCAGGCCAAATTATCCTTCAGAATTAGACACCTTTTATGGAAATTGTCAGAAGACTCTTTCTCTTTAAGACTACATACCAATTCCCTACAAAGTACAACCTGAAGTCTTATATATCTTAGCTTAAATTGGTAAGATAATAATTGACAAGTATTGATTCTTATACGATTATTCCTATTATAAGGAAATGTGCAGAATATGCAGCAAATACAAAGACTTCCTTTTTTAACAAACCTATAACTTGTCTGTGTATAACAGCAATTATAATAGAACATGATATTCTGAAAATCTTATTCTTTGCCTGCACTATATCTTTTTATCCTGGTAGCAAATCTTGCCAGGTTTTAATTGGGCATTATATTCGATATATTCAGCGTGATTGCATAAATTTGTTTTAGCCTGTTCTAAAACTATATCACATAGAAAGGAAGGTCAGAAGTTAGCTCTTAAAAGCAAGTAATTGATGTAGTGCTGATTTCATTTACTGAAAAGGTATACAGAATTTCCTCAGTTGCAGGAAGCCTGGCAAATGCCAAAGTGAGGCAAGGAAAAAGCAAATTGGAGTTTCTGACACCCAATAACCTCCAAGGAAAACTGAGTGAAATCAGAAGGGAACAGCAGGGAGGACAATTGCAAAACTATGTACTTTGAGAAATTTGATTTTTCAGCAGTACAGGTACTCTTCAATATACAATTATTCGCTTAGCAACCATTCAAACTTACAACAGCATTGAAAAAGGTGACTTATGACAGTGCTTGCGCTTACAACTGTTGCAACATCCCTACAGTCACGTGGTCAAAATTCAGATGCTTGGCAACCAGCATGTATAGACAATGGCTGCAGTGTACTAGGGTCATGTAATCACTATTTGTGACTTTCCCAGCCGGCTTCCAACAAGCAAGGTCAATGGGGGAAGGTAGATTTGCTTAATGACTAAACAATTCATTTAACAACTGCAATGATTCAGTTAACAACAGTGGTTAAAAAGGTTAAAAAAAAGCAGACATGACTCACTTAACAAACACTTGGCTTAGCAATGGAAATTCTTGTCCCAATTGTTCTCCTATGTCGAGGACTACCTGCACATATTTCTGTTTGTAAAAAGATGCAATTGCATCTAATCCAGAAAAAAGATACGAATCAACAAAAGAAGCAGTCAATTTTTAGTCTAACTGAATCAGGAAACTAGAGTATTTAGTAAGAGGCAATCATTCAAATCTTTATATTAAATAAATGAATAAGTGTAAGAGTGTGTGTGTGTGTGTGTGTGTGTGTGTGTGTGTGTATCTTGTTATCTAGATATGTTTGAACCAGAGACCTCCCATAGGATTTCCACATTCCTATAGAAAGCAATGCTGCACAGGGTGATAAATAGGTACAAATGTCATGGTTCTATCTTCAGTTTCAGTATGTACATTTTTGCTTTATATCACTATACTATTAGACTGTGATGTGTTTCTAACCAAACACTATTTAGAGACCATTTAAAACACTACACTGTGTGCACCCTAATATATTTTGCCAATACTGACATCCATAATGTAAAACCTCTATAGACAAGAAGCCAAAAGAAGGAATGGCAGGATGAGAATTTATTATTCTCCTAGCTAAATTCGTTGCTTGATAATGTATGCCTGGATTTGGAAATCTCTATGATCTTTCCAAAGCATTCTAATGCATCCAGGTATCTTTCTACAGATCAAAAGAACAGAAAAATCATACGACGCATCCCTATCTTTTATTTTGCTATAACTGTTCATTATTAGCTTTTTAAAACTTTTCCTTCTGAGAAAGAAAGCTAGTATCACAACCTGCCTATAATAAGTGAAAAAGAGCAGAATAAATTTTGTTTGAACTGTCAACGAAAGAAAGCATTTGCTTAAAAAAATTAACTATGTTTAACCTGCATTCACATATGTGATCTGAGCACCCTCTACTGTGTAAAATTACTCATAGCAGAAATAGAGAGTTAATGCTACCATATTATTCCAGAGCTGTATTTCTCCAACATAAACATCCCTCCAGCCACCCTTTTAAAAAAAATGGTCCTATTCATGATAAAAACAAAATCTCTTTTTTTTCTTCCCAAGGAAGACATTTATTCAATGCTAAGGTATACAGTAAGAAAATGTTCTAATGCTGAAAAGGTAATCTTACTTCAAAGGAAAACAAAAATATAGACATGGTGGAATAAAAGTACTCCTGCATACAAATAGCATAAACACAACGTAGCTTTGCATCCCATTTATCATCATTATCTCACTCCCCTTCATTGCATACAACTTCCTTTCATTAACTATTACTTCTTACCAGATAATTAGATACGGTGTAAAGTCAGAAAGACCCTCCTTTGGAAGGGTGGGAAGATAAAGTTAGCCAACACATCTCAACCCTTACTAACTCACTTCAGATGACACTGACCAGAATACTTCAGCCCTTGCTATGAATACAAAGCTTAATGAAGAAGAGACCAAAGGCCCCTGATTCCATACACTGGCTTATTCAGTCCCAGACCTTGGGAACTATCACTTACATATGTTTGATCTATTTTCCTTAACAGCCATAGATGCGGATAATGTAGATGTTCTCAGCCAGGCCATCACCAATAAAGCTTATACTTAGGGGGAAATTGAGGGGGGAAGAGGAAAGAGGGGAAGGAGGGGTAGAGGGAAATTGAGAGCTTTTTGACAATAATTTAGCAGTATTCCACCCTCTGTATTAATGTGCAGGCATTTCCTAGTTTGTGTTTACTTGAAAGTATTCCACAAATAAAAACTGTAAGCATGTTTTAGGAAATGAACCAGGTAAGGTTTAAATAAAAAGCCAACAAAACATATCCGAAATATACAACAGGGCCTTAATATCTTAAAAGTAGTTACCTTTATTGAAGAACATGGAGGCCATCTGACCCATTTCTACCCTTTCGGTGATTTCAAAAATATTAGGTGCTCCTCGTCTCTCTGAAAATTAGAAGGAACATTTTAGACCCATGATAAGTCCAAGCTATTTATATTATAAACCGATTCTTTCATAGCTAGTCCTCAATTTACAACCATTTGTTTACAACTGTTAAAAGTTACAATCCCACTGAAAAAAATGACATGGCCGATCCTCACACTTATAATCATCAAAGCCTCCCCACAACCACCTGATCAAAATTCAGCCACCTGGCAACTAGCATGTATTTACAACGGTTGCAATGTCCTGGGTTCACATGATCACCACCTGTGATTCTTCCAGCCAGCTTCCCACAAGCAAAGTCAATGGGAGAAGCTAGGTTTGCTTAACAATAACCCTTATCAACTACAGGGATTCACTTATCAATTGCCTTGCTTAGCCATGGAAATTCTGATCCCAATTTTGGTCATCTGTTGAGGATTATGAAGTACCAATATGCATACATACATGAAATTTAAAAAAAAAAAGAAATATTGCAATAGATACATATTTTTAAACTCATTTTAAGCCATTTTATAGTTAAATTGCTCAAAGTTCTTTTGTTTTTCATCCTTTAAATGACTCCTTTGGTTGTACTACTGAGTAATGTAATTATGGGCCAGAATTAAGAGGGGGAAAAGTCTCTCCTTCTCCCCTCTCTGAAGGAGAACAGCTGCTTAAATAGGCTGAAGAATGGCTGAAAGATTTGGCTGATTACTCAAAAGAGTAAGTAACTGGGGAGGGAGCTATGTTCACCATTTTAAAGACTTTCCCCACATAATTTCCAAATTTTAATTTTTTTGATTAATGAAGGTAAATGTGCAAAACATGAAATAGAATGCTTTGGAGCTCAGGCACAGTGTTGATGTTCTAATTCAAAACGTAAATCCTTCATAATTAATCCACACGATACAATTATCTGTTTGAAAAATTTAACAAACAACATGCCACAGATGTGAAGCACAGTAAATAATTTCAGGATGACATAAAGCCATTAGGAGGACTACACTGTAGAAATAATCCACTATTTCTATATAGTTCTTATAATATTCAACAAGATCGGTCCACAGCAGTCTTATGGAGAAACGTACGCATGAGATTCCCACCCACCCACCCCCACTATTGCTAGAATACAAGCTTAAAATTGAAACTGCCTATCTTACACAAAGAAACCTATTGTTATAATGCACAGTACAAAACCATATCTTGAATTTATCAAAGCAGGCAGAATATTTGGAGTAAAACATTTTCACAAACAATTCAAAAGAAGTTATTCAATAAAATTTATTTAGCAACAATATTTTCTTCCCTTTTGATATGATATTAATCCAGGACATGAAGGAAGAAGGAAACTCGAAGGAAGGAAACACTTAAACTCTGTAACTTCTAAGAAGGAAAGAAAGCAACATGGTGCAGATACTATCTTCAACTGTTTTGTACAAGGCTGAAAATTATTCTATAAATGTCTCAAGCATATATGTTAGTTGGGAGAGGACCTGTCGTGAGGAGCTTGAAAGATTATAATGTGGAGAATATGGAAGATTATAATATTGATACAAAGCAATTCAACATTGAGCTTGTTTGATATAAGAGCCTGAAAAGATTTAAATTCATAGTTCCCATTTGCTTGCAGAGACTTTGTAATATACAAGGCATAGATCCAGCTTTTGGCAAGTCCCTGTTTACTTGGAATCTAACAATGAGATATAACAAAGTCAAGAGAAAAGGGAAAAGAAGAAAATCAAGCAACACTCCTATGCCCCAAACAAAATAAACTAGAACAAAACACCATTTGTTCTAGGTGATTAAAAATAATCCTATAGCTGCTGCAAGAATAAAAGTAAATTCAAACAGATTTTAAGACTAATGAGTTTCCATCAAAGTTACTAAAGATTGATGGAGGATAGTAACAAGAAAACAAAACTTAAAGGAAATAAATGATTTTATAGTTTTGTCTGAAGGTAAAAATATTTTATGTATTGATAGCAAGAACTGCAGCAACAGTAAAAAGTAGCTGTAAAATCTTCAGTAATTGAAGTCAAGAAGAAAAGTCACGCACATAGACCAAAGAAATTGGCTTCTAAACTATTTGAAAGATGATTTTATTCTAATAAAAAGGTGATGATGTATATTTCTGATTGTTGTTATTCACTGCAATTACATAAAATGAGCTATTAATAAGCCCATCAAATTTTAAAAAGTAGAATATGATAAATTTGGGAGCCTATTAAATAAGATACTGTGCCTAAGCTTGATAAGAAATGGAGTGGAAAGTTCATATCCTGATTTTAAATAGTGAACTGACCAATCATTGATACTGATGCAACACAGCAGTTACTTTCTAATACCGTACATACATCATTATTAGAATACGTTTATCTGGGTCACTTATATAGAAGTAGTATCAATAAAAGGAAAACTAAAACCAGGGAGAGCCAAGCTAGCCACTCAAGGGAAGAGAGACTGCCAATCTTGATGTGATCTTCTGTTCCAACGCTTTTGAAGGGCTTGGTAATCAGATTATCAGGGAACCTGGCCTCATAATATTGTGGATTAATACTAATCTTCTGCAATAAGACCACATTCAGTCATTATTTAGTGATGGACAAGCAGGGAGAGCTGGCATATATTACTACAAGCATTGAGGATGGGGATGTTGTTTGTTCTGAGAGTTATCCAACTATGTATCCAACATTGCAAAGAAGGACAACATATGCATATTACAAAGGACACCATTGTTGCAAACAATGTGGCCTGGAATCAAGAAAAATATTTTTTTAAATATGCATTTTGGTCATCTGTAAAAGAAGAACAAGCTTTCTACTTAAATAAACTATTTTTTTCAATTAAAATATGGTTTGCAAAGTACCATGTTACTAATGTCCAATTTCATGGTGCACTTGTATTGTTTACAGAAAGTTTAAATAAAGAATAAGGATCTTTTTTCACTTGCCTTTGGCATTAGCAAAGAACTGTAGAGAAAGATTGACTCTTACATATTATCAAGATGAAAATAGAATCAGATGGATACTTACGCACAGATAGAATAGGCCGTGTTTCTGATCGTTCATAAACATCTGGGAGAACTTCATTATCAGAAACTTCAGGTGAAGAATTTTCTTCATCATTATTATCTTCCTAGAAGAGTAAGACATTAATCTAGATCTCAAAAATGAAGTATTGTATAATTCTGATAAGTAAAAGAAAATTAAGCACTAAATTAAAAGCACATTTACTAGCTGGGGAAAACAAAGCAAAACTCTTTAGCTGTGGGCCTTTAAGACACTTAAAATTCCAGTTCCTCCATCATACTGAATATCCAATCTAGCGACAAAAAAGAATGCTGTTTCAAAAAAAAATGCAGAATGGTAGGGAATTTATTGTTTTATTTTAAGGGCAAGTACAAGAGCAATATTAAAACTTTCCTACCATGTAACAGTATGATTGAAGAGATATCAGATTAAGACATGCCATACAAACCTTGTGCTTTTCCATTCTCTTTAAGTGAAGCTGAGCATTTGCTGCGGCCATGGCCTCCATTACAAAAGTTGTGGTCATGTAGCTATAAGAGAATGAGAAAATATCAGTTATTTAAAAATAAAAATGATTCACAATATCCCATTTATATTAGCAAAGTTGAAAGCAAAGTTAGATATAATGTGGGCAGCCAACTTTTTTCCAAATATGCTTTGTATAAAGCAAGGGTGGGGCTTTCATTTTTACACTTGGTATCGGTGGAGATTTGCGGAACTCAAGTTAGTTTATCTTCCAATTCTTAGCTTTGCTTGACACTTTACTTCTCTCCCAGACAACTTCAATGGTAGGAGTCAAATGGCAAAGTTTAACACAATTAACCTGACTAAAATAATACAGATGGATGGAAAAGACACATTTGGAAAATGCAATGTTACGTATTTGTGACAGATTTTATTCCAACATTTTTAAAGAACAAAACTGAAGATAGGAAAGGTATGTTTCATTTTTTTTTCCTTCTGTTCAATTTTGTCCAATAGCCTGGATAAGTCCTTGAAGTTTTCTTGGCAAGGTTTTTCAGAAGTGGTTTGCCATTGCCTATTTCCTAGGGCTGGAAGAAAGTGACTGGGCCAAAGTCACCCAGCTGGCTTTATATTAAGACAGGACTAAAACTCATGGTCTCATGATGTGTAGCCTGATACCTTAACCACTATGCCAAATTGGCTCTTTCATACATTTTTATTACATCACTGATTTCATTATTTAGTCAGATAGCAATTGTATTACAGAGATAGTAGATAATAATCATGGGGACAATTCATGTATTTATGCCATTCTTTACAAAAAAAGGTTAGAACATCAATAGTTAGATTATATGGATATACCAGGGCTGGTTTCACACATCATATTAAGTCATAAATGTGGCAGGTTTGAGCTATCAAGTACACCTTAGTATATATAAATCAGGTTATATTTATTTTACAAACCATGGTTTAAAAATCCTAACTTACCATAGTATATGGAAATAGGTCAGTGGTTCCTTGCTATGTATTATGGATTGAAAATACTTTTTAAGATCTACTAAGACAATAACTGGGAGTAAGCTATCCCTTAATAAGAGATCAACATTACAGTTTGATTTGTTGAGCTTTCACCCACTTAAGTGGTTATTTTGTTTCTTATTTTTAACAAAGGATAGAATAATGTAATCCTCAAAAATAATATTCTGCTACTTTTATAATTCGAACTAATTTTTGAAAATTGAGTGAGAAATCATTTCTGCTATGATTAAAATATAGTAACTATTCCCTGGGGCCTAGAAAATGATTCCCTCTAAGGGCTTCTTACTATATCAAACATACTGCAGGGATATCACAGATTCAGAAGTGCTTATAGAGAAATGAAAGTATCAGGGTAATACTTCAGGAAACATTTCCAACTTGACAGCAGTAAGAAAAATTTCAAAGACAATACAACACAAATAGAACAAATAATTACAAATTGGAACAGAACCTGTCAATACAAAGAAATGAACGGGAAGAGAAATCAAAGCACAAGGTAGGAAATTATAGATAAGCCTTAAGGTTTTAAAATAATCTCTTTTACAAAGCTCAGAAGCAATCTATAAAGATTTATGTTTTTCATCCAAAGAAACCAACACTTTTTCAATGCCTTCAGTCGTAATTTATAAGATTAATTTGCAAACAACATGGTCTCAACTGAGGGAGAAAGGATACAAGAAAATCTGTTTAAGGAAATACTTTTACAATGGAAAGTAATGATGCTCACAGTAGAACCATTAAATGTAGGCATAAATTGTCAATAATTAGTTGCACTCATCTAACAAGTCCACAAATTTAAACTGACCATTAATGACCACATACATCTATGACCTGTATAGAAAGCATTTAAGAGGGGAACTATGTCTTTTTTAAAAAATTTACATCTTTTTTTTATAGTACAGAACAAATTCTTGCATGTTCTGTGCATTTTTAAAGCTCATTCAGAGGTATAAAACTGATCCATTACCATGAATTCTCTATATTTAAGGCAAACATTCATGGGAGAGGTTAAATCTATTTTTTTATTCTGCACAACATGCAATCTTTGCCTCCCTACTCCGCTCAAGGGGGCTTTATTGGTGGGAGTAGGGGGAAGAACTATATCATCTAGATTGAGTCCTGGACAGCTAATAATGAGGCCTCACAAGGTAATAAAAATATTGAAAAATAAAGGAAAAGTATTATTTATGTATATTAACTATGTTATATATTTTACACTCAGTCCATACAATTCTTCTTCACTCAATACAGCCATGTCAACCAAAAGGTTGGACAACCATGATCCTAGAGCAGGGGCATCAAACTCAAGTCCCTCGGGCCAGATTTAACCCATGATGTGGTTAGATCTTGCTCGCAGAGTTGCCCTGGAAACAGCAAAGAACAAGCCTGCGGCGCCTCAGCCCGGTCCAGGTCGACCGAGTGCTGATCCAAACCCGGTGGCAGCCATCCAGGCCAGAAAATGGTCAGCCTTAGATCCGCCAGAGCACCTCCACCCCCTGGGCACGCAGACAGGAGGCAGCAAGAGTGCATGGGGCCTGGTACCCCTAAGGACCGTTTTCTCCTGCAGGCTGACTGCATTCCGAGCACCTCCCTTTTACCCAGGAAGCCAGCCCCTGCCTACTCACCGCTTCCTATGTGTATGTCACCACTTGAGTGGGGAGGAGGAGGGGAAGGATGAGGATTTATGCCACCCAGTCAGCCAGACAAGAAGGCAGGGCTGGCTGGCTGGGAAGGGGATCATGGCTGCTCAGATGTAATGTGAACTTCTTATGTCTCTCTTTTTCCAAGATTTCATCCCATTCCAACTCCCTCTTCTCCTTACCCATTCACTTTTCCTTCATGTTTTGGTTTTCATGATTTAATTCTCGTTCATTCTCTCTATGGGACTAAACTATCTGAATGGACTTCTTTTGTACCGGGCAGTCATTTTTCTACATTCAGACATCACTATACATTTTTGAGTTTATCTCTTCCTCTTTCCATTCCAACTCAATGTTTACTTGTTTTACCATAGATACTTTTAAGTAATGCATTTGCGCTGCATTTAGTTTTCACAATGAGATCTGCAACCTCTATGCTTTGCAAGAGTTGTTTTAAATAGCAATAGCTTTTTCTGCATGTATTAGATCATGGGTGTCAAACTCGATTTGTGTCACATGATGTATTGTGACGTATCACAACTTTGTCTTTGCAGAGACAGGGTAGGCCTGGCCTGCACGTGATGCATCCGCCCCCTAGACCACCAGTTTGATAGACCTATGTTACACTATTCAGAAAACACTTCTTCTGTGATATTCAGTATATAACAGTTTAATTCACCAAGAAATCCCAAAACTATCTTCATGTGTTGGTTGCCTAACAAACTGAAAACATTCAACTTCCATTAACTTTAATAAAAGCAACTAAGTAAACAACCCTATAAAGCATTAGAAGTGTGTAACTATGTAACAGTATAGAAAAAAATGACATTAAAAATAGGACACATTTGTTCAAAAAGTGTTGTTCATAAAATTTAGGAATGGCATAAAAAAAATTTGGGGGGAGGGGGGAGAAACAGGTCAAATTTAGTAGTACTCGGACAGGAGAACACCAGGAAATTTCATGGATATGGATTAAACTGGATTTTTTTAAAAACAAAAAAGGCAGCAATAACAAGGTAAAGAACATAGATATATCTATGTAAATTACTAAGAATAAAATCTGACATAGGAAAGAATTTATTTTGATTAAATTGTATCATTATAAATAAGTGTATATTGAGTGTGTGTGAGCAATGGTAGTGCCGTGGTTAAAGTGCAGTACTGCAGGCTACTTCTGCTGACTGCCGGCTGCCTGCAATTTGGCAGTTTGAATCTCACCAGGCTCAGGGTTGACTCAGCCTTCCATCCTTCCGAGGTGGGTAAAATGAGGATCCAAAGGCAATATGCTGACTCTGTAAACCACTTAGAGAGGACTGTAAAGCACTGTAAAGCAATATGTACGTCTAAGTGCTATTGTTCTTTACTGTGCTATTTCAATTTGCCAAAAATCAATTAAAACAAGAATTCATTCTGCTGGCAGCAACAGTAGGTCAAACAATAGATCTGTCGTTATTAAAAGACCGGTTTCTTATTTCTTTCACTATCATCCCCATTTAATTCTGTGGATCATGTCACTTGTTGCTCAGGTCTTTTACCAGCTCTACCTTTTTAATCTTAGTTCTATGATTCCACTGGGTCCAAAGATGCTGCTGAATTTGATTTACAGAGCTACATAAAGTTAAAGCTGCATTTCTGATGCTTACCCTACTTGCTGGTGACCATACTGAAAATATACAACAACGAAACTTGGTGTCCACTGAGCTGCAGCTAATCCCAGGTATTACATAACTACATAACTGATGTTTTAGCCAAATTAACAGAAGTAACATGTAGCAAAATCTTACCTCATAAATCCCAAGAACATTAGTAGAATAAGGCTGACAAGCCAACCAGCAGTAGCAAAGGCCTTTGGCATTGTTAGAGCTCCTGTGCCAACTATGAGGTTGAACATATAAATCAAGCCAACCTACAATGAAAGAATAGAAACATTCAATAGAAACTAGTTAGTTCCATCTTTGGACATATTGGGTATACAATATGCAGTACCAATCTCCACATGAGAAATTCAAACTCAGATATTATGACTATGTGATTTCAGAAGTCTAATAGCCCAATGAAAATAATATTTGTTAGTTCATATTAACTATTCCAGTAATAATATTGCTTTATGATATGAAGGTTTTTTTTTCTCAACTCATGCAGGTGGTTCATTTGGCATAGTATAAGCCTGCAAAGAAATGTCTCAGTCAGTGACTTTGCCAAATGTATCTGATGTGCTTAATGGGGCCTGTAGAGCAGTGGGTGGAACTAAATAAGGTCACCATAGACAAAGCAATCTAAATCTGGCTTGCTACCATCTGTTCCTACCTATCCAGAACTTCCTACTTGCATTAATTCTCATCATGTTTCCTGCAAGACATAAAAAAATCCTTAAAATTAACCAAGGACTTCCTATAAAATTTATCTAGCAATATATTACTTTTCATTTATATTACTTATCACTATCTTTTCCTTCCATAATTCTGTGCAAGGAAGATTTATTTCTTGAAGGCTGGTCCACCTACATCTTTGGTAATCTTGTGTCCCATCTATTCTAGAACCTACACTTCTTCAGCAGCCAACAAACTGCTTAAATTCCACTTGGTTTACCAACCATCTTTGCTCCTATTTCCAAGTACGGTAATTTCCTTCCAGGCAGCTTCCTAGCTTATTTCACCTTCCTCCCCCTCTTTATATATGTGAAAACCTTAAATTTGTTTTGCTATCAGCATTTCCCAAATAGAGTTTAACAGTTTGAAGTACAGTTCATGTACTGGAAGACAATTGACAGGATGGCAAAGAATGCTTGGTTACTCCATTTTGTTACACTCCTATAAAAACTCTTTTGCAAATTATAAGGAAGCATTCCTCCTTAGGTCTGAAATAGATCAATAAATTCTCAAGTGAGCTACCTAACCCGACAGTGCTGGTTTTGGAAAGCATTGCACACAAGGCACTCAAAAGCACAGTGTACTCGGTATGAAGAGAATTAGACTGGCTGAAAGCCAATTCTGAGCAAGAAATTCATACAGTATAATTAAACATAGAACTCTTCCTAAAAGCACAAGATAATGGCAGAAAAAAGCCAAATTCTGTAAAATTTACCATATCTATCAGAATTGTAGGAAACACAAAAAAGAGGAAAAGAAGGGGAAAATAAAAGAAAATATCACTGTTGCCTTCAACTGCTTTATTAGAGATTCTGTACATAAAACAGCTCTCTCTATAGAACTCCATCTTCACTGTCAAAATATATTTATTTCTTGTACTACAATATATGGTGAATAAAATGAACCAAGAGCACAATATAGCATCAGATTTCTGGCAAAAGTTTAAACTATAGCCTTTAAAGACTGTATAATAATATATAGACATCATGTTCTTTCTGGGAGAACAAGATCCTTGTGTTCTCATCAGCGTCTGATCAGCAAATGCATCTTTTAACTGGATCACAACATGTAATGCAATTTGTAATTTAACGTTATAATGGTCTGGTTTTATTTGGAAAACTCAACTCTCCTATAAACTAGGTAATCTAGAACAGAGGTCGCCAACCTTTTGGACCTCAGAGACCACCAAACTCATAGTTTTAAATCCCGAGGACCATTAATACAATTTTTTAAAAAGATAATATATTTAATATAAGAATTTTATTTAATATATAAATTTAATAGTAAAAATAATTTATGTGTGTGTGTGTGTGTGTGTATTTAATTATAACAAAATTGTAAATGCTTAATCATAACTAGGGCAGAGTGAAAGGAAGGGAGGGGGCTCCCTCATCCTTTGGGGGGAAAGAGGGAGGATTTAATACTGCTGGGATTCAAAAGAAGCCACATGGTGCCTGGAGGCTCGGAAGTTCTGGATGGGTAGGAACCGGCTCCCACTCAAACAGAAGAAAAGCAGAGCCCCCTCCCAAAAAACCTGGTCTCCTGTCATTTCATATCTCCCCCAAGCCAGAGGAAACCTCTCCCTCCTTTGCCAGGTTGGCTGCCTGGAGTGGGAGAGGGAAGGAGTGCTGGGCTGGAAGCCTCCCCCCTCACCTGCACCTTCCAAACTAAGAGACAGAAGAGTGGGCGGTGTGTGTGTGTGTGTGTGTGTGTGTGTGTGTGTGTGTGTCTGAGCTGAAGGGCCTTAGGGCAACTACTGCTGGGAGAAGCAGAGACAGAAAGGGGCAACAACAGTCCCCTCTCCCAGCGCCCACTGTCAGCTCTCCCCATTAATTCTCCAGCTTTGGATTGCTCCTGCCTCTCTTTCTTTCCCTCCCTCCCCAATGCCCACCTGCAGGCAGGCAAAGAAATGGAGACGGAGCCATGCACAACTCTCAGCTCCTCCAGCCCTCGCTGTCTCTCCCAACATCAAAGACTTGTAGACGCAGGCAAAGCTGCCGCAGCTGTAGCACCTCTCGGCACCGGCAGCGATGGGTACTTGCTGCAGCCATCCAGTAGAAGCATGAGCAACAGCTGCTGCCTGTCTTCCCAGTCTTTTAATGCCTGGCTTGCTTCTCCATTACTGCTGCCTCCTCTTCCAGCACCTCCTTCTCCGGGTAGGGCGATTATGAACTAACCAAGGATGCTAAGGCAATTCGAGCGCTACTGCTGCGACGGCTTTGCCTGTGTCTCTGAGGCTTTGATGTTGGGAGAGGCAGCGAGGGCTGAAGGAAATGAGATGGTGGGTGTGGGTGGGGGGAGAAGGAAAGAGAGAGAGAGGTGGGAGCAATCCAAAGCTGGAGAATTAATGGGGAGAGCTGACAGTGGGCGCCGGGGGAGGGGACTATTGTTGCTGCCGCCACTGTGTGTGGGAGCTGGTTGGCATGTGCATTTCAGAGACCTGACTCTGGGGTCCCTCAAAGAGCCGGCAGGCGCAAGAACTGTGCGGCCCAGATTAATTGCTTTCGGGGGCCATTTCTTCTGCAGCCCACCAAAAATTTCTCCATGGCCCACCACTGGTGACCACTGATCTAGAAAGTGCTGTAATCACTTCTTCTGATGGACAGTTGGAAAAAAAGCAAAAGAATTTTGTTTCTGTATATAACTTTGGTGAGATTCATGATGGAATCTCAACAAAGATGAAAAACTTTGGCAATATCTATAATGGATTAATAGTTGGTGAAGATAACAAAACTTGCTTAGATGACCAAACTAATTTGTTTGATCAGAGAAAATGCAATACATCTGTTTATTACTGGAAACCTTTTATCAACATTTTTGTATAAAACAGAAAAAATAATTTTTGAGTTATGATTTTAATGGTTAGATAGAATACATCAGATTACAGACAGGGCAGAACCAGGATGTAATTTAAGACAAAGATATTGGAATAACCCATGATGACTCTTGGATGACTGTGTACTTGCCCGGGAAGAGAGTCCACTGGATTGTGATTCTCAGTAGGAGCACCAGAGGGTTGGTTCACCATCTTTTCTTATCACTGTTTGGGGGTTTTTTGGCACGTCTTTGTTTTAACATCATGTTTTGAAGTTTCCCTTTGTTTTAGCTTACATTTTAATTGTTAAATTGAAAGCAGATGGAAATTGCGGAATAGGCTTATTATATGTAACCAGAAGACAACTGTTGGGGGATGTTGTATTTTGATTTGTGGGAAAATTTATTGAACATGTGCTACAGATATAATATATGACTTTGAGAAGTGAGATGCAACTATTTGGAAAGATCCCAAATAATTCAAGGAAAAGTTTTATTACCAAGAATCAATCGAAGATACATGATCCTGGATGGATCAGAGATAATGATTGCAATGGGTTTATGATAGATTAGAAGCCATTTGTGAACTTTCTATGAGTTAAATACAGGGCATTGAAGTTTAGCTTGTTGGTGGGATAACTTGTTTTTTTACAGTAGATAGTTTGGTAGGTTCAAATTGGTTGATTGATAAAAAATTAATATTTTTAATGTGATATAGTAATTTAGTAAATAGAGATTTAGAAATTTATAAATTGAGGATCTATTTTGCAAAAGGGGAAAAATTTTACAGTTGAAATATATTTTATCAGTATTTACCCAGGGGGACAATCTTTGTATATCTTTGTTACTTCATCTTTTATGCACATTTTTTGGTTTGGTTTTGTTCTCTTTCTATCCTGTTTCTCTTTTTTCTTTTTTGGATTTGGATTTGGATTCCACTTCTATTAAAACATATTGTAAGAGTGCCTTTGTACCTAAATACCCTGACATATTTTTGAATAAAAAATAAAAAAGCTTAATATTGCTATTAGTATTTCTATTTTGGAAATCATGAGTCATGAAGATCTCAATTTAAGTTGTCTGAAGTTAAGACACCACCATCAACATTAAGCAAAGATATAACAATGGAAAACAACATGAAACAAAACATTCTAATAATATTTAAATAATTAACTATTTTCTCGGCATTTTATTATTATGTAATACAGCTAGTCAGCAAGAAACATTCTTAAGTTTATTTAAAAACTTGTTGCCTGTATTGTGCTTGTTTATTTATAAATTTGCTTCTGTACCCTTTGGCACTGAAAAAAATTTATTTTAAAAATGTGTTATACACTAATATTTTCTTTAAATTTGTATTTATATGAAGTATAGATATAATCATTTACCAGTCTTTTCAAATCCTTTTCTAGGTCGATTACAATGCAGTTGTAAAATGATCAAAACAATATTCAGTATCAAAACCCAATTTAGAAAGAGGCTGTAATATGTTCCATAATTTGGAGAAAAGAAAAAAACAAGCACAAGAATACAAATGCCCTACATAAAATGACAATTTTGCATACTAATGCTGAACTAAACATAAAACATGCATTAAGTGACTGTACCAATGCTAAGCACTCACATAGGGAGAGTAGAGCTCCCCTGTATCAGTAATGCTTCCAGCCATATTGAAAAGAATTTAAGGACTTGAGGCAGATAAGTTGTCAGTCGTTCTTGTTCCAGTTAACCTGAAAAACACAAAAGTTAACTTTTTTTTTACAAAGTTATCTACAATCATTAATAATTTAATCCACCGCATAAATTTGTTTACTGAGATAAAGTATCAGAGACTTTAGAATTAACCATCATGGCTTTAACCAATTAAAAAAATCACTGGTTTCCATGCCATTAACTAAGATTTTTTTTCTGCTTGAAATTGATTTGCTGTAAGAAAAAAGGCACTCTTCCCCTTAATTGTTAGCTCCTAATTGGGTCTGCATCCTAGGACAACACATTATTTCAAGAGAAAGCTAATTATGAGATCCTATTAACGTATGAAATTACTTCATATTAGAAAATTAAAATAAAGTGAGCTTCTGGTTGCTCTTCCATTGGAGTGGAATCTGCGATTGTGCGCGGTTTCGCTCCGGGCGCGCTTGTTGGAGGGTCCTGATTGAGACCAGAACCACCATGGAGAGGTGCTGAAGAAAGGGGGAACTGCTTGGAGGGTAGAGGGGAGCCGTATCTCCCCTCCCTGACAAGATAAATCCCCTCCGAAGACATGTTGCAGCAGTGGTCAAAATGGCCACTATGAAGATGGGAAGCAGTCCGGGAAACTAAGACTGTGCTGGAGCGGTGAAGTTGCGAGCAGAGTGTACATACATACACACCCACACACACATATATATGATTAGTAGACTTCTATGCTGTTCTTTCTCTCATTGTTTCTTAGGGTTGAGGACCACCCCAAGTATAGCAGCTTGAAAGAGAGCTTTTGTCAATCAGGAAATAAGTCAGGAAGAGTGAATGAAGACTTAGGCTATTAGGAAGTAAAGCCTTCTTTGAGCTCCCTTCCTAATGACTTTTTATGCACTTCTCCACAGCAAGCAAATCCCTCATACAAGTTTAAAATGCTACCTTTAAAGCTAATAGGAAGAGAGGGCAGAATTTATAACCACTCTGGGAAAAGTACAGTAACAGGGAGGAAAGACTTGCTCTTGAGAGCAAGCTTCTTAGCAGATTCTTACTGCATCAATTGTTCAATCAGGAAATTAGGCACACAAAATCTTGCATGGAACAGAGGCTGGACTAGACCTCTGAGCTTCCTACTATCACTTATGATTCTATTTAAAACCTTTCATTTAAGCTACTCATGATACAATTTGGTATGGGAGAATGGTTTTTGTGTGACATAGGCTAGCCTCAAGGGTGCTTTTATTTTTCATTTGGCGAAGTCCATATTGTTTTGCTAGAATAATACAAAGTGTTTTGCCATCAGATTCTTCCAAGAGATTTCTTCAACTTTGCAATCTAATCTATTTTCCCATACAAGTACTAAACCAAACTCATACAATTATTAGGCAAAAAGCTTGCCTTTCAATCTAGAAATCTTGTGGAAATGGGAATGTCCTATAACTGCTAGAGATATTTTTCAAAAAGCAGAAGCTTACTCCTCATATTTATACACAGCTTATATATACATAACTTATATATACACTAATTCCAATTTAAATACAAGGATGTTCATGATAAACACCAATACTTTCTTCTTTTTGAGTACTTCGTTTTTTCGAAAATCCTCCTCAAATTGCAGGAATTTTTCTTCTATCAACAAAAATATTAAATGAAGAGTGCTGCCCAAAATAATCCTCTTTTTTATCAACATCTCTGAACTTTACAGGATAACCTTTTCTTTTCACTAAGCAGAAATAAACTACTTGTCTTGCATCTACAATAGGTTTTATCTTTAAAAGACAAAACATTCATTTACCTCTTCTCTACTGACATCATCCATTCCATACAGGCTTTCTATAGGATTTAAAAGTCAGCTTTCAAAAAGTATGGTGGCACAGGTCACCTGACTCCCATGTGAAACTACATAATTTCAATTGAGCACAACTTGTCTTTTTAAAAACTGCTTCAACAACACACATACACAATGAATAAAAAGTACAAGGTAGGAGACTTACAACCACAACTGAGCCCAAAATTTCTGTTCCTAAGTGAGAGAGTTCTTAAAAGTGAATTTGCTCTGTTTTATGATCTTTTTTTGCTGTAGTTAAGTAGTTCATTTAACAATTGTTAAGTGAATCTGGCTTGCCAGTTGACTTTGCTTGTTAGAAGATTGCAAAAACTGATCACATGACTCCCAGACACTGTGACTATCATAAATATGAGTCAGTTGCCAAGCATCTGAATTTTGATCATGTGACCATGGGGAATGTTGCAACAATCATAAGTATGAAAAACAGCCACAAGTCACTTTTTAAGTGCCACTGTAATCTTGGAGTCACTAAGTGAACTGTTTGTTGTAAATCAAGAATTGCCTGTAGGGTACGTACAAACCATCAGCTCCTATTTTAAACACATTACCCTTTGACCATATGGAATAAAGTTGGACAATCTTTCTATAACATTGACATAGAGCCAATTCATAAATTAGTAATGAATGTATCTTGAATCCAGGACTAACTACAAGGTGGGACTCACTCCAATATTTTTTCCACTTCACCCCGTGCTCACTAAATCCATAATTATATATAACTATATATATTTAAAAAAAATTAATATAAGGAATGCAATTCAGATTACAGAATATGGATTTGGAGAAGCCAACAGGCATAAAGATGTGACTAAGCAGCACCTTAGTCTCTTTTCTTACTGCTTGCATATACAGTATTGAACATCTTTTTCTACATTACATCCTTCGGAGGCTGGCGATCAAGTACGCCTTTCAAACCGAGGCGGACCTTTTCCCCAACTATAAACACAGACCCGCCCGTGCACACGCGTGTCAGCCCCTGAAACGATGCTGACGACCGTCCTAACCCGAAGTAAGCCCCTAGGTTTAGCAAAGCCACGGAAACGCCCAGCTGAATTCGGGGTATTTTAGGCATCATCCTACACGGGCTCTTTCGGAAAGCATTTCGGGGCTGTAGTCCCTTGCTGTTAGAAAGCCAAACGTCTGCCGGAGCTGCTTCGGGCATGCCACGTCCCTTAAGCTCGCCCAACCGTAGCTTCCTCTTCCCATTCTGCCTGCTTCACCGTGCCGCTTCCCGCCGTCCCCCAAACCATCACGAAACGACCCTCCTTATCGCTAAAAAAACAAAAATACCGGTAACAACCACAAGCCCAGAGAAACCCCAAGGCAGAGACTTCACCCGCAACTCCAAGCCGGCTCCCTTCATGCTTCGCCCGGGGAAGCGAAGCCACGGATAACGCATGCGCCACCCCGGCCAAAAGGGGCCCGCTTCAACGATTACGGAAAGCAACAACCGCGACTGTACAGCTGTCCGAACCGCTTCCTACGTCGATCGAGGAGGAGATTCGCGAGGCGGATTGAGGCTGTACGGCTACCGTAGCGTTCCGTGAAGATAGGAGGGCCTTATGACTGCGCAAGCGTGGAGATAGAGGAATTATGCGATTGTGGGGGATGAGCGCTTGTCGCCTGTTGCTTTAAATGTGGCGGCAGTTGGTGCTGGTGTTGGCGACGGAGTGGGTGGGTTTTGTATGTTTTGGTGAGTTTTTCTGGCTTTTTGCTCTCTTTCCTTCAGGAGCGTAGATATTAAAAGCCTAGCTCGAAACACGCTTAAGGAGGGGACGGTCGTTGGATCTCAGTGGGGCGATTTCTTTCTCTGAGTAAACAGTCAGAGGTACGGTCGTCAACACGCAAGTCTAACATACACTTGGCCAGTTTATGACTCAGATGATTGATTATGTGCCATCAAGTCAGGGTTGACTCTTAGTTTGTCTGAATTGGTCTCCTGCTTGAGCAGGGGGTTGGACTAGATGATCTCCAAGGTCCCTTCCAACTGTATTCCGATTGAAACATCAAACACATAGACACTAATTTTCTCCATGAGGATGCGTTGGATAATCTGAGCCTCTCTACCTAACAAAACCAGAAGAGTGCAAGCCCTGGCTACACTACATGAAAACAAAAGCTGGAAGAAGGGAAAAGTATTGATGCCTTTAAACTTTGATGGAAAATACGCCTGTGAATACTGTGGATAGTCAAGAAAATAAACCAGTGGGTCATTGAGCAAATAATTCAATCAGGTGTAAATGACAAGGCTCAAATTATCCCACTTAGACACATGTAAAGACCCAGAACTTTGGAAAAAAGCTCTATTGTTGGGAAAGGTGGGGGGAAAAAAGGAGAGTGGACCAGCATTTCTGTGGCAATGAGGGACTCATTGAGAAACTTTAAAGAACCGGTGAGAGATCGTGGAGAAAATCATGTGGTCACTAGGAGTCAAATGATTTGGTGGCACATAATCATTTGTGCCTCCAGTGAGAAATCTGGTTTGATGATCCATTAATTTGTTTACTTGGCTACCTATGAAATGTTATCCAACACAAATGGCTCAAAAACTCTTCCTAATATTGCTTCAATATTCAAAATCAGAAACTGGAGGAGCTTATTTAATCAGCAGCTACAATGTGCTATGCAAACCTAAGCTTAGAGTTTAGCTTAATCTTTTTTTCCTTCTGACCTATTTTTTTTCTACATCTAAAACCCTTCATAGTGGGTTTTAATGAGCCCCCAGCCTTTCAGTGGTTCTCCACATTATCTTCATACCCTACCCATTCCTGATTTAACTCATGACTCATCAGTGCTACATAAGCATTGGCATTTTCCATCCTAGAAAATACCAGCAATCTTCTATACTATTGTCCCTCTCATTTAGTCAACACGCTGTCTCTAAGGACGTAGATATGTGTTGTGTAAGGAAAAAGTGACGGCTTAAAAAAAAACATTGTTATATCTATATCTTGACATCCCATATAGGGTTCAAAAAGGATTATGATCTTGGTTTATCAGAGGACAAATCTACTGAGGCTTTAAAAACAGCCTGATCTGTTCATCAAACACTGGACTAGTGCATATGTGGTGGGGTAGAAGAAAATTAGTTTAGTCTTTATCAGTTTGCTTTTTAGCTTTCAAAGCTAAGTGGGGGAAGTCCCTAAATAGGAAAAAGCAATATAAAACAAGGATGGAAATATGTGGCACTTCAAAGAATTTTGGGACAGAAAATTTCATATTCCATATCCATGATCAATATGTGATGATACATTCATTCTTTTATGTGTTATATCTGGGTATTGTATGTAAGTTTTAAAACTGTTTTCCAAAGAATGCTGTGGACACTGCCCTATCCAGATATTAGTTCATGGTTCCAGATCTTTATTTTGTTTAACTTTAAGATAACTAGATTTTTCAAAGTTGAAAATAGTTGAAAAAAATCAAAATGGAAATGAAATATAAATTGCCTTTTGTAGCAGCCATAGAGAATACAATAAATAAAATATAACCCTTGGATTGGTTATTATAGCATACTTTTGTCTCATGACTCATATATGCAGATACCTTTATATTTCATATATTTTAATTAAACATACAGTAATAAGAATAAAATAAAATGTTCAGTAAATGTCTTGAGTTAATTCTAATACTATTTCTACTCAGATTTATTTCTCACTTACTGTTGTTTCAGGATTCAGATTATGAAGATTAATCAAAACACTGTACTGGAGGGGAAGAAGGTAGTCCTAGTACCATACACGTCTGCTCATGTACCTAGGTATGCAAAGATAACTTAGTTTGGGGTGGTGGAGGGAGATGTTGAATATATTCAGTCTCTCTCCTCTCATGATAACTAGTCACAGTAGTAGTCCTCGATTTACAAGCACAACTGAGCCCAAAATTTATGTCGTTAAGTGAGATAGTTGTTAAGTGAATTTTGCCTAATTTTATGACCTTGTCACAGTTGTTAAGTAAAGCATTGCAGTTATTTTAAGTGAACCTGGCTTCTCCATTGACTTTGTGGCAGCGTTGAATAAGGTTTCCAAAGCATGGAAGATTTCACAGATGTGCCAGGTGCTATTCTAATAAAGGTACTTTTGGGGTGATGCCTGTCTCGGAGTTACTGATTGGAATGGAGGTTCCCTGGAACGCTGACACTTTGCTTATCAGAAGGTCGCAAAAGGGGATCACATGACCCCGGGACACTGCAACCATCATAAAATATGAGTCAGTTGCCAAGCATCTGAATTTTGATCACGTGACCATGGGGATACCACAACAGTTGTAATTGTGAAAAGCTATCATAAGTCACCTTTTCAGTGCCATTGCAACTTTGAACGGTCACTAAAAGAACTTTTGTAAATTGAGGACTACCTGTAAGTTCAACCTCTAACTGGAGGAAAGGGCTAGTGCAGAATTTGACATGGCAGCTCTTAATCTGAATGGGGGCTATTAAAATGCCTATATGAGTTTCATTGTATCACTAACACAACTTCATCAACAGGTGTACTTGACACCACACCAACTTATAGTGGATAATATTCTAAAGAAGCCAACGTACTTTTTCTCGATTTTCTGATTAGATACCATGATTGGATGAAGTCTGAGGAACTACAGCGTCTGACTGCATCTGAACCACTCAGCCTTGAACAGGAATATGAGATGCAGTGCAGCTGGCGGGAGGATGCAGACAGTGAGATTTCTGAATATTTGGGAAGACCTTGAAATGGGTAGTCTGCACATATGTTGGGTGGTTCATTTCACAAATGTTATTTATCTATGAAACTTAAATGCAACCCATCTTGCCTAGGCAGCTTATAACTGATAAAAGCAACAAGATAAAATATTAAAGCAATAAATATTGACACTAAAATTGACTTGAAAATTAAAGATTAACAAAGGAAGAGAACAAAATGTACATGGGGAGAAGGTGGAGTCTGTTAATCTCCTCAGTATGACACACACCCATGACAAGCCCCACAGATAATTCCAAGTGGCATTTTTTGACCATTACTACTCCATGTTACAGTTTAAAATTTGCAATTTCATAATTGTCAATTCTGGAAATGCTTTTTATTGTAACTCAGTTCAATCATGATCAAATACAAAGGGATACCGTAACATAATAGAAAATCTGATTTCAAATGTTTATGTATATTATGGGATATTTTACTGCATTATACTCAGTGGAAGGTTTCTGAAGGAATACAAATTAATTGATGGTTCTAGTCTTTTTGCCTTTTTTTTTAATCCTTCTACATCATTTGTTTGGATTAATGTTAGGAGACATGACATTAATATTGATTCTAGCTCTTCCTGGAAGAGTAGTCTCCAAATGAGATGCTAGGACACTTCTATTTTACCACAGCATTGTTAGCCCAAGGACAATATTAATCTGTGAACAGGCTTTTATCTTCCATGTTTTAACATTTCCCTGAATTTTTTCAAGGAAGTAATCCTGAAGTTCCATGAAGTCATTATGAAAATCTGTTTACTTACCATTCTTAAATGAGGTTATACTCCTGTCAAAAACCTAAATGTGCAACCTGATGGCATTCAGGCTAAATGTTTAAAACACAGTCTATATGTGTTACATATGTAGAAAGAGATCTCTACTGCTCAGACATGAAAAAAATCTCTTTCAAACTTTTGTGGTCAGTGAAATTGGAATCTGCAGGCTGGAAATGTTTTCTGTAATATTGCATAATCCTGAAATGAGTTTCCATTGGGAGTCTGTCAATCTTTCTTTCAAAAACTTGTACAGATCAACTGTTTTCTTTGGCTTTTTAACATTAGTTTTATTAAGCTACAATACGGTCTTAAATTTTATTGTAAAGACCAGATATTTATTTTTTATCTGATGCCAATTGATTGCAGTATTTGAGAAAAATACTATAAATTGCCTTTAGAAGATATTTATGTAAAATGAGAAATCTTTAATTCAATTTTCTATGCCTACAGAATGTGAAGTGGACTGCTGGTAAGAGAGTAGAATAGTGACCAAAGCTAGGTAATATTGCTTCTAATAATCATATATATTTACCCTGATTTTATACATGCTTCTTCCAGAGATTTATAATCATCTTTTTTGATTCTGCTGCTTTTTTTTTACATTTCCCAGAATGCACATTTATAATACTTGATGCTGAAAAGTGGTCTAGCCAGAAAGCCTCAGAAGAAGACTGTATGGTGGGAGATGTGAACTTGTTCCTTACCAATTCTGAAGATCCAACAGTGGGAGAGATAGAAATCATGATTGCAGGTCATCTAATTTATTTCATGTCTTCCAGTATTTATTTTGTTACTATATCATTTTTCTTTCAAGCAGAGCCAAAGAGATCAAAGGCAACAGTGCTTAATAACACTAAAAAGTTAAACTCATCGTTCATTTTTAAAAAATCAAAATAGTTAAATAAATCACAGAGATATGTTAAAAGCTAGTGTATTTTCATAAATGCCTCAGCATACAAGGATATCTTCCAACTATTTTATTGACTCAAATTCCGTTCAGAAGATAATTTCATTATTTCACAACTTCCAATGAGAAAGCTGTACTACTGGCATCATTGGGGCTTCCCAAATAAAACTTAATGCAGAAGTTGGATCATATTGGTGGAAAAATTCTTTCAAATACTCTTTTACATCTTGGAATAATCTTTAAGTTTATAGCAACATGCCTTTGCATTTGAAACCTACCAGAATCAAATCAAGCATATTTAGTATTTTAGATGAGAGAGAGAGAGAAAAGTTTGAAAGAACGGCCTTCAAATATTTTTAGCAGGCCAGTTGGTGAAGATGTCCAGGCAGTATTGTTAATGTTTTGAACCTTTAGCATACATCTTGATGAACAGGGTTAGATCTAGAGCAAGAAACCCCCCTCCTACTTTTTCCTTTGCCAATCTCATGCTTTCTAAAAATAAGTCTTGTGCAATGCCAAATCTTGTAAAATGTGGGAAGAATTATATAAGTTTCCTAAAAAGGGACTTTGGCACCTGTTCCCTCTTTCAGAGCCCAGCTGCCGCGGCAGAGGTTTTGGCAAGGAGGCCACTCTCATCATGATGTTTTATGGTAAGCATGCCTAATAAAATATGCAAAATATGATTTTTGATTGTTACAATGTGCGAGGAACAGCATGAGCAAATAAATTTCAAAATTTGTATGGTTAAAAAGAGTACCCAATAGAACAGATTTTCTGACAGCATATTAACAGTTGAGCAAAAGATTTAATGTTGGGATAATGGAAAATTGTTTCCATATTACTTTTACTTCAGACCTGTGTGTGAGTTCTGTTTAAAACACAAAAGATTACTTCTTTGTGTCTTAAAAATGCCAAAGTGCAATTCTCTTGTTTTGAATTAGTGTGGTATATTTACATTCCAGGAGATGTTGAATTATAGCTTCAAAAATGTAAAGTACTTTATGAATGAGTATCATTTATTTAGACTTAGAGTTCAAATAACTTTATTGTCACTTTAAATGTACATAAATGACATACATTAAAATGAAATTTCATTGCATACACCTCTCAAAGGGTCACCACCTCCAATATACACTACATAAACATAACAATAAATAAATAAATATGCATATATATGACACAGGGAAACAACACAGTCTAGTTCAAATGTATTCAGGTACATGGCATACTTCACAAATACGATTCGTAGAAGATTTGGCACAGCAATCGTGGGTCATCAAGATGAGCAGTAGCAGACTCAAGACACAGCCCTTTGAGGAACCTGTACTCAAGGAGATGGAGTTGGAAACTTTTCTTCCAACTCACATGAAATATTTATACTAAAAACAATAAAAATTTCCATTTGTCTTTAACAGTAGGAAAATTGTAAGTTAGTTAGCATACCCAAATCCAGTTACTTACCTGTGTTAGATGGTATTGTTTCTAAGGAGTCAGAGGACCCAGTTGGAGATGCCACAAATTCAGTATAGAAAAGTTTACATGAAAAGTTTGTGTTCTACCATTAGTCTATGGTCATTCCTTTTCCAAATACAGTTATTCCTTGTTTATTGGTCTGTAGGAATTACGCATCTTGGACTCACCACTTTTGAGGCAAAAATTAAATTGGAAAATGAAACCAGTATTGGCATGTTCAAAAAAATTCATTTTAAAGAGGTATAGTAACTAGAAGCTCTCCTACTGTATGTTGAGTTAATATTAAATTGTGTTTGTTTCAGTGTTTAAAAATAACTTTATCTTCCATATTATCTAGGTGGGAGTAAATAATATCTTCCAAGAAATGACACTGAAACTGATTATGGACGAACAGGAGAAACAGTGGCTTCTTGAGCAAACTAATGGAGTGATTGAAACAAAGTACAATGCCATGAAACTACATCACAATTGTGACAGCTGAGAAGCTATGCTCAATTTGTCTCAAATTTAGAAAAAAATGGCTTTTTATTGTCCAAAATTGGAATCGTGTCCCAAATCCATAACACTAGTTCTTGCTAAGAAGAAAATGAGGTGTGACCTCTGCCTTGTTATTGCCTTAGGTATTTTTTTTCTAAGGATATAAACGTCTAGGATATGAGAATGAACTGCCTCATCTTAGTGAGAAAAAAGAATTTTCAGCTGAAAACTCATTCAGCTTGAACTGAGTTTGATCAACAGCTGCTGTCAAAATGATGCTATGGACTTGTTTACTGTTTAACTCAGTACAAATAACAAAGTATGGCTGAGCTGCATTTTGAGGCAAAGAACTCAAGGATGGTGTTACAAATAGGTTGAGAGTGTCCTCAATATAATGGCTCCATTTTACCAAAAACCTTAACTTACCTTCTGGGACATTTTCCAACTTCCCGATCTAGACTCTAGAACACAGTGTTGGGATTTCCTACTGGCATCCCAACCCAGTATTAACCTGGTCCAGCACTGCAGGTTTTTTTTTTTTAAGTGAGATAAAACAGCTAATGCTAATGAAGACAGCTGACTCTACCCACCTGTATATAAATGTTTTATGGGTATTGAACATTACTGATGGTTCCATATCTGTACATCTCCTTTAGGAAATCAATCATCCCTCAGTTCCATTTGTGTTACATTTAAGTCCCCCTTCAGAGTGATTTCTCAAACATCCAATGGAACTTGGATGTTCTTTTTCTATGAGTCCAATACTACATAGTTTGTCCATTTTTTTCATTAAGTTCATCCATTTTGTGAAGAAGCTTGTTTTAAAAAATGCAATGATTGGTGTCTGCTCCATTTTTTTATCCTCTAGCTCCTCCTACTGCCCAATTTTCAAGGTCTTGAAAGGGATCATCATTTTCCCATAAGAAATTTTTTTAAATGAATTCAAGGCTATAATTCCAAATCCCTCTGGCTGCTTAATCTATTGCTAACTTTTTCTAATTTATATACTGAACACCCTTTTGCAAATAATCTAAAAATATATTTGCAATATTTTTAAAATCAAACATGCTATCTTCAAAGGAGGAGAGAACTCTCTGAAGAATATAGTAAAACCATGGTTGTAAGCGCCGTTTTGTATAAGAGATTGATCAGCATTCATTATTTGGGTTGAGGGGGAAACTGCATTTGGCATCACTGTTGCATAAAGATGAACCTTCAACCTGTTTAATATTCTAATTGTTTTGTCTTTTTACTTTGTTATTAATGATAAGCACAGTGACAGGTATGATCCCTTTAAAAGGCATAGGCAATTCAGTACATCTGGGTATATGGTATATGGTTTTTAGTCCCGATTCCAAGTATCTCAACATAAGTTGCTCAGCTGCTGCCTTGAAATATAAACTACAAAATAAGAAATACATTTAAAAATAGCAGAGATTAGTTTAGGCAGAGTGTTCATATATGTCTGTTGGCCTGGAATGTGCTTCTGTGGTACTGTTGTTCTCGCCTCAAGGCAGTGACAATCAGCACCAAGCTTCTGAACTAGAGGCTTGCCTCTGTAGAAGCTGGTGACTGCAGTAAAATCCTTCCGATAACGAATGAATAACACATTTGGCAAAGTGATGTCAGCAGTTCTATTATTCTGTTGTTTATATATTTAACATTATTTTATTGGTATTTATGTAACAGAATCTTTCAGAGCCAAGGCAGTAGATAAAGCTTATATTAATGAGGAAATGCAGCAATAAAGGGGTTTGGGTCCCATGATATGCTTATTGTTTTGTTTAGACTGGTTGGTTCCTCATCAGTTACGTGTATTTTATTCTTTTCTGGTTTTGCATTCTTTTTATGTGCTATAAGTCACAGCAACTCAGTATTTGGAATTGGGCAACCATACACATCCAAGAAATAAATATTTTTAAAGGTTATCTAATGAGTTTATTATATTGCATGTTATGTGTCCTTAAACTTCATTCTATTGTAATGATAGTTGAATTAAGAGAGACAGAATAAATGAAACTTGAATTGAAAAATCACCTGCACTCATTAAAGATCTGACAAATAGCGATCTGGCATAGTTTGTGGCAAGCTATGCTCACTTACGACTGGACAAATCCATTTGCCACGGCTGCTACTTTAAGAATTCGATGACATATTTTCAAAATATAGAGGTTATGGTCACCTCCCAAAAGGTTTAAGGATTCCCAAGTTTGATTTTCTATAGTGAACCTGTGGATCAGTTGTAGGAGATAAATTGTCCTTGTTTTAAAATCTGTCAAATTGTGCCTTCATTATTTACAGAGAACCACAAGAAAATGGCTTATTAAAGGCCATGGGAAACAGTTTTAGATTAAGGATAGATATCTACTTATCATCAGATTTCTACATGTCCTTTTTGTATAATTAACAAATCGATCACTAGAGAGTAACAAAATATAAGATATTTATGCATAGCTTGGCAGACCAAGTGAACAAGGGAAAACTTATTTTGGAAAAAAAATGATTCTTTTCCTTCCACTGTAAAAGCAAAAAAATCCCTGTCTGCATTGATTTTAGTTTCTCCTTGAAGGCTGAGTTTAAAATAAAAGCAGTTTATTTTTTGCAGGTCCAGCTCCTTGCTTGTAGGTCATGCAACAACCTCTGGATTGTTGCAGAGTTGTTTGTAAATCCCTGGAGCAGCCAGTATTCAACTACTAGAGAATTCCAGCTGGATCCTCCAAATTCAAATGCTAGCAATAAAACCACATTCTGGGGCCATAGAAATAAAATACTATTAGATAGTATTTTATATTGCTCTCGTGAGCAATATAAATCATTATTAAAACAGACATTTCCTTTTCTTTCACTGAAGATAAAGAGCCTCTGTTAAGAATCCCTTTGGATTATCCTCAAGACTTCTAAGAATTTTCCATTGCATCTTTGCACTTTGAACTGACCACCCAAGCTGTTCCAGAATTACATTGTCATGTACTGAAACAGTCATGAATGCAGTTTACATAGGGTAGCACAAACTTGCAAGTACAACTATATGAATAGTTGCAAATATATGCCACAAGCTAGACTTGGTAACTTTAGCATGGGATGCCAGCATTCATATAATTGGCTCGCCAAATGGCAAAATATCAAGATTTTAACACAGATGCACTGACAGCTGCCACTTTGTTCATTTAAAACATTTATGTAGTCACCCAACTTATAACAAATCCTTGGTCTTCCAATATAACTAAAAAAATCAAGCTGAGCTTGGCTACTATAGTGGCTTTACTAGCTACTTTGAGAAGCCTCTGGTCTAGACTCTAGACCATAACCACAGAAATCAGGGTCTGCTGACAATCCAAAATGCAAATCTAGGCTGAGGAAGATCTAGGCATGGTAGAAATTGGGGAAAGAGTGGACAGAAATGTATTTTTTCATTTGTCAAAATCAGGTGCTACTTTCTATGTTGCATATTTAAGATTTTGTACATACAGAGCACAGAGTATTTTGCTGTTTCCCATGTTCTTTTATTCTCCTTTGAGGCCACCAAGACATCTTTAACAGCACAGGAGATTCTATCTCCTGTTGACTCGACCCATTATAGATCCACCTCTGGACTTTTTCTGTTGGAATGGAGGCACTGTCATCAGAGTTATCAAGGGTTGCTGAAAAGGCATTTGAAAAGACTAGCCAATATGGATTTGTTCTAATAGAGCAGTTAGACAATATTGCAGAAGCAAAAGGGCTAGGACAGATCATTAACCCTGTGACCATAAATGTCCATTCTTAATCAAGATAATGTGAAATGATGGACATTGTGACACCAGAGCAGTCTTTCGTTTGTTGTCTTGCATGTGAAGGACAGAATTTGCGTCAGCACATCATCATGCAAGTTTCACCACTTGCCCTCTTTGGCCCTGCCCAGACACCTATGTGTGTGATTAGGTATTAAAAAAACTCAGTAAAAGAGCTCCCCTGTCTTACTAGTTGATGTTGCCTGTTTCCAAGAAGGACCTTTCTTGTGGCTCATAATTACAGTAATTTCATGGAGCATCTCTTTAATGTTAGCACATATTAGTCAGCAGTGTCATCTCCTATCACCTCATTTTTCTATTAAGAAGGATAATCTCTGGCAGCAACAATACATACTCAATCACCAAAGATATGGAGGTTCCACAGCACCATGATTCAATCATTCTTGTGCTGGGGGAGGCTTACAAATCAAAGCAATTTAAAACCATTCTTAGGAGCATTAGGTCGGAGACACTACAATAATAATGCATTGTTAATAAAACTATGCAATAATAATGCATACGTTATTAATAAAATTAAAAGTTGGTTGTAAAATGCAATAAGAATACATAACAATAAAATTAATACAGCAACTGTAATACAGACAACAGTGGCAATCATCAAAATTTATGCTAACTTTCAATTGTTGGTAGGACAATTGTTTACTTGTGTAATAGCATAAAACCAGGCTAATTTGGAAAAGTTCTGTCAGGTCAAATAGAAGTAACCAATAAGCCTTGTGCTCTACCAGGGCAGCTGTTTAAAATAAAATAGATGTACGATTCCTGAGATGCCCTGTAAAGAGTACAATGATGGAGTAGATCTCAGGCTTAGAGACCTGCAGGATCATAATGAAGCCACAGAAGCTTCAATATCATACTGGCATATCAGCCCAGAACTGCTGTGAGAATGAACCCAGGCATTTCTGACATCTTGCACCCAGATTTCTTTTACTGCTTTTAAAAAATATCCTGCAAGATGCCAAAACACTATTTAAAGCAGGCTTGTCCAGCCCACGGGCCGCATGCGGCCCAGGTCAGCTCGTAATGCGGCCCAGTGCCCACCCCAACCTTCGTGCAAGAGGACGAGCCAGCGAGGAGGAGGAGGAGAGGCGGGGCGAGGTGAGCGCCACGCCAAGCAGCAACAGAAAAGGCGGGCGCCGTCAGAGCGCTCCTCGTGCCGAGGCAGCTGCAGCCCAAGAGTCCCGCTCCGCCATCTCCTGATGTTGCCGCCGCCACTGCTACCGCCGCTGCTGCTGCCGGAGCTGTTGTAGCGGCTTCTGCCCCCGCTGCTGCCGCCGCTGCTGGAGCTGTTATAGCAGCTTCTGCCCCCGCCGCTGCCGCTGGAGCTGTTGTAGCGGCTTCTGCCCCCGCCGCCACTGCCGCCTCTATTGCTGCTGCACCGAGCCTCCCGGTCCTCGCCTTCCAGTCCTGCCGCATCCACCCGGGCCATTTGTAGGAGGAGAGGTAGGCACGAGCTTTCTCCCTCCCCCACCCCCCCCGCGTTCCTTTCTCCCTGGTTGACTATTTTTTATGATATCTTATGAAAAAAAAATGGCTGGAAAATTTGGCTGTGATAAAAAATAATTTGGCCGTATTTTGGCTTGAGTTTGGCTGCAGAGCCAAACTACGATCTGGCAATCCTGCGCCCCATCCATTATATTAGCTCCACCATCTTATATTAGCTCCGCCATTTTGCGGCCTGTGCCACTTTCTGGTAGTCAGGAGACTAAGGCTGGGTTCACACAACGGATTTTGACACAAAATTGGCTGTGGAATTCTGCATCAAAATCCAATTGCATTCCACTTCCCATTAATTTGAAAGGGAAATCTGTAGCATAATGCACATAGTAATCACATTGATTATTAAACCAAGCTTTCTAGAAGTCCTTTATTTTTACATTCCAGCATGGCTTCTGAAATCTCAAAAAATAAAAACAAACACAAAAAAAGAAAAATTACAGATGAAGGAAGAGTGTTCCAAGAAAAGTGGACAGATGAATACTTTTTTGTTGAGTCCAATAGTAAGGCAATCTGCTTAATTTGCAAAGAATCAGTGCCAGTTTTCAAAGACTACAATTTGAAAAGGCATTACATGACAAGACATGCTGGGAAATTTGCTGTGTATGAAGGAACATGTCATAAAGGCAAAATCGCTGAACTGAAAAAAAATCATCTCAACCAAATTATTTTAAAAAAGTGTTGATTCAATCAGATTCTATTGTCAAAGCCAGTTGTGTGGTTGCAAACCTGATCGCCAAAAAATCAAAACCGTATTGCGATGGTGAGTTTATTAAGGAATGCATGGAAACCATGGCTGATATAATTTGCCCGGATAAAAAAAGGGGACTTTTCAAAAATGAGTTTGTCTCACCAGACTGTAGCCAGGCGAATTGAAGATATAGGAAACTCCATCGAAAAAGTTGTGAAGAGTAGAGCTGCTCATTTTAAATTTTATGCTATGGCAATAGACGAAAGTACAGATGCTACGGATACAGCTCAATTGGCAATTTTTATTAAAGACATTGATGACAAATATAATATCACTGAAGAAATGGCTGCTTTAGTTCCAATGAAAAACACAACTAAAGCAAGAGATTTATATGAAGCTGTGAAAAATACATCACAGCGATTTTCTTTGTCATTTGCTAACATATCTGGCATAACTACTGATGGTGCCCCTGCAATGATAGGTAACAGAGATGGACTTATAAAATTGATAGAAGATGATTCAATTGCCTCCCAAAATTTCAGTATGATTAAATATCACTGCATAATACACCAAGAAAATTTATGTGCAAAAGCTTTAAAGATGGCTAATGTCATGCAGATTGTCATCAAGGCTGTAAATTTCATAAGGTCCAAGGGATTGAATCATCACCAATTCCAGGAATTCCTTAAATTTATGGATGCTGAGTATGGGGACATCATTTACTTTTCTGAAGTAAGATGGTTAAGTCGAGGGAAAATGCTGGCAAGATTTTATGATCTGAGAAATGAAATCAAGTCATTTATGGAATCTAAAGCAAAATGTGTGCCAGAACTTGAAGATGAAAACTGGCTCACAGATTTGGCATTTTTAGTCGACTTGACCACTCATTTAAATGAGTTAAACATGCATCTTCAAGGTGAAAACCAATTGATCAGCACAATGTTTCAAACTATAACAGCGTTCGAAATGAAACTGAAACTATGGCATTCTCAAATGAAGGCAAAAAATTTGATGCATTTTAGCACATTGGCTAAACACGC